TGGAGCTGGCGGCCGTGCACCTGTACCTGCTGCCCTGGCGGAAGGAGTTCACCACCATCAAGGTGCGCGCCGACCGGGGGGTCGCTGTGGGCGGGGGCCCGCGTGGGCACCGCCTGCTGGAGACCCTGCCCTCTTTAATGGCCGTGGAAACCGTAGGGTGGGCCCACGGGGATCGAGGACCCATGGTCATCCTGATTCCTCTAGGCTGTGAGCTGAGCCCCTGGGTAAAGGAGGGCGCTGAGGCTGGAAGGAGAACAGCGGGTGGGGCTCGCGCGGGGCAGGGGGAATTGCCCCGGGAGGGTAGGGTCACTGCGTGCCGAGCGCGTTCCGAGGCGTGGGAAGGAGATGACATCAGTGCACACGTGGGCGAGATGCGCCTCAGCCCGTTGCCTTGGAAGCGTCAGCCTCTCCCCAGGCGCTGGGTAGTCACCTGCCCGGTGGGGACACCTGCTGGCTGGTCCAGATTCTAAGGCTTTCATTCATTTTACACCAGAGTGTAGGGGCCATGAGGACAACAGCGGAACAGGCAGGCCCTGGGCACCCAGGGTGGGCAGGGGCAGGGCTTCTGGCTATGTGGCTTTGAGCACGTTGCCTAATATATCTGAAACACTTTCTCTAACAAAGGGACGTAGTGGTCCAGTCCACAAGAGGAAATGCTGCTGCAGGTACCCAATGCCTGGTGACTGACATCCTCCTGAAGGCTAAGTTAGAAACGCTAAGCGTGGGATCCTGGTCCTGATGGTGCTGTCTCTTCACAGGCTTTGTAGTCTAGAAAGCACTTTCCCACCTGTTATTCCCATACTTTCACCAGCTGCACATTAGAGCCTTTGGAGACTTTAAAACATTGGTTGGCAAGGAAAAGCTCCTCAGGACTCCAGTGTGGAAAGACCAAAGTGCAAGACAGTGTTTAAGAATCTGTTCTGGGCCAGGGATTTAGCTCAGTGGTGGTGGTGCACGCCTGTGATCCCAGCACTTGGGAGGCTGAGGGAGGAGGATCATTGTGAGTTCAAGGCCAGCCTGAACTACATAGCAAGACTATATCTCACCCCCCCCCAAAACTGCCCATTCTGTAATCCCAACACTCTGGGAGGCTGAGACAGGAGGATCACAAGTTCTAGCCTACCCTGGGCAACTTAGTGACTTACTGAAACCTCTCAAAGAATGAGGGTTGGGGATGTAGCTCAGGGCAAAGGCACATGCACACACACAAACAGAAATCGAAAAACTAAAGAGCAGCAGGGCTGAGGATTTAGCTCAGTGGTTCCAGTGCCTGCCTCGAAAACTCAAGGACCTGAGTTCAATCCCCAGTACAACAACAAAAAAAAGAGCAGCAGATACATGGGAACCATTAGGGTGCAGGTCTTCAGGAGTGGCTGGTGGGCCCTGAGAACAAAACGCGGTGCACCATTCTTTACTTGCCCTGCTGAGCCAGCTCTGTACGTTTGTTCCTGACTTATGAGTGAGTTCCGTTCTGGGAGAACATTCATAAGTCGGATTCTTTCGTAATCCCAAAAAGTGAGGACACCTGCAAAAGCTCACACTCTAATGTTCGCGAGTTGGGGGCTTACTGTGCTTCTAATTAAATCTTGAAAGCCCTGCCATCCAGCCTGCCCCACACTGTCAGACCAGCTCGGGGTGGGCACAGCATCATAAGCTGTCCAGAGAATACCAGTAGGGCAGCTGCTGACCAGGCCCCCTCTGCAGACCTTCTCCGGGGGCTACGTGCATGTGCTGAAGGGCGTGCTCTCCGAGGAGCTCCTCATCCAGAGCTTCCAGAAGATGGGCTACGTGCGCAGGGACAACCACCGTCTGATGGTCGCCACCCTGCCCCCCGCCTGCCAGCTGGTCCAGGTGGCCCTGGGCTGCTTCGCACTGCGGCTGGAATGTGAGATCCTGGGGGAGGTGCTAGCCCAGCTGGGCACCAGTGTGCTCCCAGCCGAGGAACTGCTGCGGGCTCGGCGCGCCAGTAGGGACGTGGCCTCCTGTGTGGCCTGGCTGCAGCAGCGCCTGGCCCAGGAGGAGGAGCCACCGCCCCTTCCCCCAAGGGCGCCCCTGGACCTTTATCGGGACCTGCAGGAAGATGAGGCCTCAGAGGGGGTCAGCCTGTACAGGGGGCCGTTGCCTGGCCCTGACTCACCCCCCATGGAGCTAGCCTACCTGCCACCGCTCTGGGAACAGAGTGCCAAACTCTGGGGCAGCGGGGGCCACACCTGGGAGCCCCCAGCTGAGGAGCTGCCCAGGGCCAGCAGCCCACCCTACGGGGCCCTGGAGGAGGAGCTGGAGCCCGAGCCCTCTGCCTTCTCCTTCCTGTCGCTACGCCACGAGCTGAGCCAGCCTGGGGACCTGGCTGCTCCAGAAGCCCCTGGGAGTCCTGGACGGGCCAGCCCCAGGCATAGGCGGGCAGAGGTGACACCGGCCTCAGCCTACAGCCCTGTCCCTGAGCCCCTCGGCTACCAGGCACACAGCTGCCTGGCGCCTGGTGCCCTGCCCACCCTGTGTTGTGACACCTGCCACCAGTTGCACGCTGCCCACTGCGCTGTGCTGCCTGCCTGCCGCCAGGGGCACTCACTGAGGGCGCTGCTCAGTGACACCCAAAGGCGCCTGTGGCTGCAGCGTGCTCGGGTGGACACCCTGCTCTACGACAGCCCTGGAGCCCGACCGTAGGCTCGACCGCCAGTGGTTCCAGGTGACAGTTTCCATGGTGCTTCTCTGGGGGCGGCCAGGGCCCCTGGCTGCCCCCTCCAGGCCTAGGCAGTCTGCCCCTGCGCGGTAGAAAGGGACCCTAACCTGCTAGCAGAGGCTGAGCCAGGCCACAGGGACTTCCCTTGCATTCTTGTCCAGTGCCCAGCCCCACAAATGCGAACAGCAGGGTCAGCCTGTGTCACGGTGCCCAAACCTGTCCCCAGGAAGGACCCTGCGCCTTGGAGGCCCACAGACACCCCCCCGCCCCGTTCGTGACCACTTTCTGTTGTTTGGGATTCAGGATAAGCTGCTGTCTCCCGTGTCCAGGCTTCCTACACAGCCCTGCCCTGAGGCTCTGTCAGGGACATGGCTGATCTAGCTGAGGACCAGGCCTCTCCGAGTGTCATGGCCAGGAGGGGTTGGGAGGCGATCACCCTCCTGCCCAGTGGAGATGATGATTCTCAGCTACTGGCAGCCCAGCTGCCCTAAAGGACAAGAATGGGGCCACTGTGCCCATGGTGGGTGCACACAGTGGGTCACTGCCACTTTCTTGGGGGCCCCAGAACCACCCACCCACAGGAGGCGAAAGGCCCGGTTTGCCTGGTGAGGACAGATACAGCACCCATGGCCCTGTGTCCCAACCTCTGCACTCCTCTCTGAGCCTCCCCCAGCCTCCCCGCCCCACCCTGCCCAGCAGCCTGGGGACACTGTTCTTGTCACCCAAGTCAGAACTCTTTGGTACATTAAACGATGGTGAAACCACATCTGTTTGGAAGGCTTTTATCTCTCCAGCCCCAGGATGGGAGTCCACCCTTCTCCCTAGCATCTCAGTGGTATCCCCTCCCACCATCCCACCTGGGGTCGTCAGAGCCTATTCACGCCCTAGGGGACCCCAAAGACCGTGCTGATCCTGGGCCAGGGTACAACCCAGTGACAGCATTCTCCATGGGTACCATGCAGCAGCTTTAACAGGCCTGGGTGGCACAGCAGCCTAGCGCTCCCATACCCCACGGTCCATGCCCTGCCAGGTGCTGGGCAGAAGAGCCCTGGGGCTTGTCTGTGTGGACGAGCTGGATCCCAGGACACCTCTGATCTGGAGTCAGCATGTGGCCACCATCAGGGCTTGCACCGCTTGCTCTGGCCTTCCGCCATGCCCAGGGCAGCCCGCTTATTACGGTGGTGAGGGAAGGTGGGCATGAGCTCCGGCTCACAGGCTGCAGAAGAGGGCAGCTCAGTACTGGGCTGGGGGAGCATTCCAGGTCTGAACCCCATTGCATCGATGCCAAGCCTGGCTGCCCTGAATCACTCCCCTCCTCCCCCAGGAGGTCTCCACAGGCACAGAGGCTGCCACCCAGCACCAGCTGAGCTGACCCTGAGGGAGTGGGGAACTCACGCAGGGGCTTCTCCTTGAAATAAGAGCTCTCCAAGCAGTCCCCCGCTGTTGCCCTGGAGAAAAGCAGCCTGTCAGTGGGATCTTTGGCCTCAGTGAGGCCTGTCTGCTGTGTACTCGGTCCAGCTCAGCAGCCTCTGGGCCAAACTCCCACCAGGGGAGGTAGTAAACAGACTTGAGGCCCAGAAACCCATGGGAAGCCCGGGGTGTCCTGTGTGAATATTTGGCAAGGCCATCCTAACAGTACAGCCCATGCTCTGGGCAATCATCTTTAAAGGAGCCTAGTCTGGCTCATGGTGTGTGTAATTACCGTGCAAAGGCCCTGAGGTCTGTCCCTGGCACAAGAATGAACACAGGATTGGAGTCAAAGGTATGTCCATTCTGCACAGGCCAGCACCCTCTCTGGTGTGGGGCCCACAGCAGCCTGAGCAACAGGGTCACCCTGTGCTCTAAGCCCCAAGCCCAGGTAACAATGTGGGTACGGTGCTGCAGGAAGCATTCACACCTTTTCTTAGGATCATACATGAAGAGGAAATTCAGCAGACGCAGCCCAGCCTCTGAAAGCCATGGGAACTTGTGCTTGAGGTTGTTGTATGGCTGCTTCCTCAGGCTGTACTGGCTGACCAGCGGCAGTTTGGAAAAGCCCTGCAGGGAGGGAAAGCTGGAACCCCAGAACGGTCAGGAACAGGATGGGCAGGCCAGGGACAGGTAGACACACAAACCGGCCAGATGTTCTCGCTAGGCGTCCCCAGCAGCTGCACGATCAGGTCAACCTGGTGAATCTCAGATGTGCCAGGGAGCAGGGGCTTGTGGGCCAACAGCTCAGCCAGGATGCAGCCCACGGCCCTGGAGGTGGACTGTCCTGAGTACCACGCCGACACCGTGGTCACAGGATGCCGTGGTGGGCAGGCACATGACTGCAACAAGGGCAGACCCACTTCCCACAGACCTGAGCACCAGAGGCTAAGGAGCAGTGGTGTGCCATCCTAGGTGTCCTCTAGGACCTGGGGTCAGGCCCATGTCCCCTCTGTCCCTGCCCCATGCCCCCAGGGCAGTAGCCCTCTCACCACATGTCAATGCTGGTAGTCTGGGTCGTGGTTCCCAAAAGCAGCTCAGGGGCACGGTACCTGCACATAAGCAGCAACTCAGCTCTACAGCTACTTCTGTTCCCAGGCCTAAGCCCAGCTTCCACAGGGCACAGCTGCCCTGAGGGCCAAGGCAGTCTCAACAACAAGGTCATCACTCCCAGCCCCAAACCCAGGAGACACATGGATACAGTGCTGCAGGCAGAGTCCTATGGTTACAAACGGCTGCATCCTCCGCACAGACCTGAGACTGTCAGCCCGTTCTCCCATGGGGGCTGACTGACACTTGGCAGAGGCCATATGGGCACTGGTGTCCTATCCTTAACCACCATCCTGTTCTGCCTGCCGGAAACGTTACTACTGAAAACTGCACAAGCCACCACCCTTCCCTTCCCTGGTGGCTCCAGCTGTGTACAGGCAAGGTGGTGTCTTGTGTGTGAGGCAGGTCCCCCGAGGCTGCAGAGCCTGTACCCTTTCCCGGGGACACAGGCCAGCTCCTACAGATTCCAGACAGCCACCCCCAGGGCCACCACGGTTCCAAAGGACTCACCACAGAGTGACCACCTTGGGAGTCATTGGCTTTACTGGGACACCATAGGCCCGGGCCAGGCCAAAATCAGCTGCAGCAGAGACAGAGAGGGCAAAGCTGACGGCTGGGGCCAGAACTGGGTCCAGGAGACAGACAAGCCAGCCCCAGCCTTCAGGTCTTACAAGGGCGCACACCCCCACACAGGGGCCCAGTGCCTGGCACCCACCTGTCTTCACACAGCCCTTGTCAGTCATGAGCAGGTTGGAGACCTTCAGGTCCCTGGAACAGAAAGAAAAGGCTGGTGCTCCCAAGACGCTAGACTGTCACCATGCTGCACACGGTCCCAGGTATGTCAGTGCTTCAGAGGGCTGGCAGTAGGAGCAGCATACAAGGGGACCTGGCTTCTGGTGTTGCTTGGGCCCACCCGCAGTTGAGCCTGCAGACTTACATGTGTCTGGGCCTGGACAAGTCTCTGCAGGTGGTGTCTATAGGGCCCAGCTTTCCCGGTCAGAGGAGGAAAGGTACACAGGGCTTCCCAGCCTCACCTGATCCTGGACCCCCGGACCCTGGACACTGCGTGTCCACTGCTGTCCTCTGGCACTTGGAGGGTATGCTGGTGATAACCGTCAAGGTCTTGGACAGCTGGACCCCAGGCCATGCCCACCACAAGACTGCCCACCCCAGGCCACACCTCGGGCACAAGCTCCACCCTCTGTTGCACCCCCGCACCTGTGGATGATGAAGTTCCTGTGCAGGTACTGGAGGCCCCGGAGCACTTGCAGCACAATACACTTGACCTGTGCGAGGGTTGAAGTGTTGGTCACAGAAACCCATGCTGGAGCCCAGCCGCCCCACATCAGTACTGGCCACCAGACCCCGCAGTCCCCAACACAGCCTCAGGAGCCTGGCCCAAGTGGGAAGCGCTGCTGTCCCCTCGCCTTCCCAGTGACCTATCTGCTGTGCAGATGGAGAGAGCCCAGGTTCTCCATGCCCCATGTGTACCCCACGTGTGCCCCACGGGCAATTCCACATTCTTAAGCTCCCTGGGGCCAAGCATTCCACAGCATGCGCCACACAGGTGAAGCCCACACACCTGGGCCTCGGAGAAGGGCGTGGGCATGTTTTCCAGGAGGCTGGCCAGGTCCTGCTCACAGTAACCCATCACCAGGAAGATGCTGTAAGGAGAAGGTCAGGATAAAGCCAAGCTACCTCTCATCTCAGTGCACAGGGCCAGGTCTGCAGGACACCAGGGGACTAGGTTGGGATGCGCACCTCTCCAGGTGGTTCCCTACCACCACCTCCTTCAGCTCCACGACATTGGGGTGGCGCAGGCGCAGGAGCAGTGTGATCTCCCGCAGGCTGCTGATGGGGATGCCTATGACAGAGCCAGCAGGTGAGCACTGCTGGCCAAAGCTCCCTGACTCCACACACACACACACACACACACACACACACACACACACTCCCTACATGTGGCCACTACCATCCGTAGCACCACTCCTAACCCTTTCATCAAACAGCACCTCTCTGGGCCCAGCACTGTTTGTGAGGGGCAGTGAACCCCAGAGGATGCTGGGCGGGCCTGGGGCTTGGCACCATGGAGACAGCTGAGCTGGGCCAGAAGCCGAATCACGAGGATGGTGGGAGAGCAAGGACAGAAAGAACCCAGAAGCCTGCGTGGGAAGTAGGGAGGGGAGCTGAGGTACGGGTGGGGTAAGAGGCACCCCACTGCACAGGCGCCCCGGAGGCTCAGTACTGAGGAAACCTCAGGTAATGAGCACAGCGTGACAGCTGTGCTTAAGTCCAGCCGAAACGGCCCACACCGCTCTTCCGCTCACCGTCTTTCTCCTTGTCCATCCGCACCTTCTTCAGGGCGACGGTCTCATCTGTGTGGGTGTCCCGGGCCCGATCTACAATCAGAATGCATCTGGGAAAGTCCTCCCGACCCTGTGCAAGGCCACGCCCTTCTCCCAGGCCCAGGTGTGTGGGCTTCCCTGGGGCCTCTCCTCTTGATGACCTCATGTCCAGCGACACTCGGTCCTCGCTCTGCACGTGTGAATCCCCAGCTGAGACAGGCGCGCCCGGAGGGTGCCCAGCTTTGATCTGTGCACTGAAACCCAGCCTACACGTTCTCCCCATGGATTCTCCTCCTTAGCACGTGCACTGCTGCCTTGGGTTTGCTTACTACATCCAGAAAAAAGCAATCCTTATCTGTGCAAAGATAGATAATTCCACAAAGCATTTCGTCAGTTTGCACAGCTTCGAAGCACCTGGGAGAATGACTCATTCCTGCAGCTGCTGAGTCCAGCCCGTCAGGAAGATCTACACATTATCATTCTGACAGTTCTGCCCCTCTACGCTTACACACTGGGGTGACTGACACTCGGTTACACAGGCAGAAGTGAAGATCATGGAGTTACACCAGCAGTGAAAGCTCCCCAGCCAGGCTTGGTCCTGCTTTGGACAAGGACAGACCCCCTTCTAGCCCAAGGTGGCTGCCATGGCAACGTCACGCCCACCACCCATCCCAAGCATAGCTGTGGCTCTAAGCCCCCACTTGGGCCACTCACACACAATGCCATAGGTGCCCTCGCCAATGCGGTTCAGCTTCTCAAACTCTTTCACACTCCGGCATCGTCCCAACTGAAAGAGAGGTGCTGCCATGTGGGCAAGCGGAAGCTGACAGGACAAGGTGGGCGCTTCACCCGTAACTGATACGGACGGGCCAGCTGGTGCACGGGTCACCAGAGACAAAAGCAGCCGCACCAGGCTTTTCTGACGATAGGAGGATGCGGGCCCACACTGAACAAGACTCCCAGGGCCCGCGCACTCCTCCCACGCTCCGGATGTGTGCTATCTAGAGGCTGACACCATCAGAGATCATCTCCCACACCACAGTTCCTTCCTTCGTTGTGAGGTAATGCTACCAGGTGCATCTGGCCATAGGGTGTGATTAGAAGGGACACCTGTGGCCTCCAGAGATCATAGACAGCCCCCCCACGCCATACTACAGACTGAAGCCCCTTAAGCACTCTGGGTGAGAGTTTTGCAGTGCAAAACTCAGTGAGTTACATCTTCGGCCCTTTATATTTATTTATTTTTGGTTTTTTTGAGACAAGGTCTATGTGGTTGAGATTGACCTGGAACTCACTATGTAGCCCAGGCTGGTCTCGAACTCACAGCGATCCTCCTGCCTCAGCCTCCCGAGGGCTGGGATTACAGGCATGCACAGGTGTGCGCCACCACGCCCGGTCCTATTTATTTATTTTTAGTACCGGGCATCAAACTCAGGACCTTGCGCTTGCAAGGCAGGCGCCTAAACCACTAAGCCAAATCCCGGGCCCCCTTTTTATTATTTTAGACAGGGTCTCTAAATAATCCTCCTGCTTCAACCTCCGGAGTACCTGGGATTAGGGCTCCTCCTACTCTTCTCACAGACAAACTCCTGCCCGAAGCAGCTCAGAGCCCCCCGTGCCAGCCGCCGGCTTCCGAGCAGGCCGCAAGGGATTTCTGGGACTGTCGTTCCCACGAGAGCCGGAAACCTCGGTGCCTAAGGGCGGCGCCGTTTCCCGGGCCGCGTCGATCCGGCCTGCGTGTGGCGAGGCGAGCAGCGCTGCGAGAATGACACCCCGTCGCACCCTGTGTTCCGGAGGCACCGTGAAGAAGCCCTCCTTACGGATACACTTCAAGCGGATCTGCTCAGACTCCGGATCCGGCTCCGCCATGCTGAGCGCTGCCCCCCGCCCCCACGGACCTCCCTGTGCGCAGGCGCACGATCTACTTCCGGCCGCCTGGCTCGTAACAACGGTTACCAAGGACTCTCCCGGCACCAGAGCGCCTGCGATTCGCCAGGGCCGAGATTCTGGTATCGAAAGAAAAGTTGCGGTGGACATTTAAGATCCAGGGCGTCATGTCTCCTATTCTGACCTCACCGTTGAAATCCGAAGGAGGTAGCAATGCTCAAACGACTGCCCACAGCCAGACCTAAACTAAACTAGAAGCTGTTTTGGCGGCTCACATCACGTAGCTTCCAGAGATGTTTAAGTGGCAAGGTTGATTTCAGCAGAACAGCAGTAATCTCAGTGCTTCAAGGTCCTCCACGAGACAGCTGCAAATGAGAATTATGCTGTGACAGCCGCCGGGGACCTGGAAGCAGCCTCTGGGGAGGAGAGTCCTGTGTGAGGACAACCTCCCCATCTCCAGCCAGAGCTAGGCTGGGGCCTCGTGCGGGGCGGGCAGCGGTCTGCGATTCAAGGCTTGCACGTCCCGTCCTCTCCCTTCACTCTCACATTTGCCTCTACAGGTTGGCAAGCTGCTTGGCTCTGGAGTCGGCTGTGAGGACTGATGGGCGGGAAATGGGGTACAAGCCGCTGGAGAGCAACTCAGGAAGTTCGAGGGGGTCCCAGGCTGGAGTCTGCACTCAGTTCTGCGGGTGGTATGTGATGGAACCTGTGGAGGGTTGAGGTGAGAGTTGGAAAGCTAGGCTGTTCCTGCTCCTAGGTGTCCAGAACACAGACCCACTTGGGCTCCAGTTGCTTAGATAGATGCAAAGCAGGTTTTCAGTAGCAAGTCAACATCTAAAATATTTAGACAAGGGCATGGTGCCATATGCCTGTAATCCTAATCCCAGGATTTGGGAGTCTGAAGCAGGAAGATTGTGTTTGAGGCGAGCCTGGACTATGCAGTGCGCCCCTGCGTCCAGAAAAACTAATTAAATAACTTAAAAATTAGGCTTCTGATGGCACTGAGGAGGCTGAGGCAGGAGTTTTGCCATAAATTCGAGGCCAGCGTGGGCTACACAGTGAATTCAAGACCAGCCTGTACTACAAAGAGACCATCTCAAAAAGCAAAAATAAAATATAAAGTAAAATAAAAAGTAATAATTAAGCTTCTGCCAGATTCCTTGCACCTTGTCCCTGGGCAGTTTAAAACATTTATGCAAAAGTCTTTAAAGAATATATTTTCATGCTACTCTACATTCTTTGGGTTGTGTATGTGTGTATTTGTGTGTGTGTGTGTGTGTGTGTGTGT